GTTACAATTGCATGGGCAGGATAATGCGTACATTTCTTACCAAGCATTGCAGCCTCCTCCTTTGTTTACCCTTCCCATCCCTTCCCAGCCTCCCCTCTCCCCCCCTTTCTTAATTTTTTGTTTTGAGATGGGGGGTGTCTTGCTAATTGTCTATGCTAGCCTTGAACTTTTGCCCCTCCTACCTCAGCCACCTAAGTAGCTGGAATTACAAGTATGCCAAATCTAGTTGTTCCCCTTTCCTTACATCTGTTAAGGAGCTACCCTCCTTTCTTCCTTCCTTCCTTCTTTCCTTTTTTTTTTTTTTTTTTGTCAGTCATGGGGCTTGAACTTTGGGTCTGGGCGCTGTCCCTCAGCTCTTCAGCTCAAGGTACTCTACCACTTGAGCCACAGTGCCACTTCCAGTTTTCTGGTGGTTAATTGGAGATAAGTGTTGCTGACTGTCCTGCCTCAGCTGGCTTTGAACATTGATCCTCAGATCTCAGCCTCCTGAGTAGCTAGCATTACAGGAGTGAGCCACCAGCGCCTGGCAGGAGCTACATTTCTTTGGCTCACAGATTTACTTCTCCTACAGATTATAAGCCTCTCTTGGGCAGGAACTTCATCTCAGCATTCTCATACTTTCAGACCACGTTGGTGCCTAGTCCAGATATCTGTGTGTGTATGTGTGTGTTGGTACAGGGCTTGAACGCAGGGCCGGTGGCACACCCCTAGTTTTTTCCCCCAAGGATGGCAACTCAACCACGTTAGTCACACTTCCACTTCTAGCTTTTTGCTGGGTAATTGGCTTCTAATTGTGATCCTCAGAGCTCAACCTCGAGTGGGCAGGATTAAAAGCTTGAACCACCAGTGCCCAGCTTGGTCTGTGATATCTTAATTCCAAATTTCCCTCTTCCTCCTTCTCATTCAGCTCTCTATCTTCTCACCCTAGTCTCTTTCTCATCCTAGTCCCTAAAGGATCATCCCCTCATCCCCACCACACAATAATTTATGAGTCGTACACAAATCGCTTCAACCTCGCCCACTCTCAAGTCACAGTTTCTTTCCTTTCCCTGTGGTCCTTGCCACTTTCAGTCTGGCCCTTAATTCCATTTTGCCCTCCACAGCCCACCAATCTCCCCTCCCAAGAGGTACCACACGCCCTAATCTCTTCAATCCCAGAGGAGGTGCTAACACTGAGCGCTCTTCCAAAGCCCCCAGGGATTCCCGCCCCCACTCCCACCCCCAGCTGGGGTGAAGCAATCCCTATACCTTTAACAAAACTCCACGTGCGTGTTTAACAGCGGTGACAGCATTTCCTTGTCTCTGCTCCCGCCCCCAAAGGCGCTGCCGATTGGACTTCGGCTTTCTCTACTAGAGCTCTAATTGGCTTTGCTCCGGAAAATTCTAACCAATGATCTCTCTGTGTCTAGCTCCCTCCTCCGATCCTGGAAAATCCCATTGGCTGTTCCTGGACCCATTGGCTTCAAGGACTTAGAACTTGTTAGTTTGGTTGGGCCACTAGCAAATCCTTCCCCGTGAGAAATTGGTTCCGAACGCCGTCGAACCCCAGCGCCTGGCGACTCCAGGTCACGTGGACAGCGGCCCCCATGACGTGCGGGCTTCGGGGCGTCACGGTGACGTTCGGGAGACCTGCCAGGTGGCTGGGCTACCTCCGTCACCCGTGCTGTCGCGGCGCAGCCATGGACCTGGGGCCGATGCGCAAGAATTACCGCGGGGACCAAGAGGTGCGGCCACCGCCGCGGGGACTCCGGCCCGGGCGCGGGGAGAAGATCCCAGAGCCATCTGCGGAGGGAGGGGGGTAGAGACGCCCTCTCAAGGGGCCACCCGTGAGACCGGAGGGTTTAGGGGTCACCCCAGTGGGAGACGTGGGGGAGTGGGGTGCTGGCTCCTCCAGCCGGGAGGAGTTTAGAGGAGATGTGGGTGAAGGCAGCGTGTTGCCCTTGTAAGAGGCACACCAACTGTGGGTTGGAATCCAGCCATTTACGGAATGTACCTCCTTTGGAGTTGACTTATCCCTTGTGGGCCTCAGTTTCTCATTTACATAGTGATAGCAACAACCTCACAAGGCAGCTACGGGCATACGCATCTGTGAAATGGCTAGAACAGTGTGTGGGGGGGTAGGGGGTACAGCTTATAAAATGACAAGTAAGGATTGGGGGTGTAGTTTAAGAATGATGCCCTGAGTTCTAGCCCTTGCATTGGGAAAACAAAGACAAAAAAACCTTAGAGTCAGTTTACGGGCTTTTGCCTATAATTCCAGCTACTCGGGAGATTGATCTGAGGCTAGCCAGAGCCGAGAAAGCTAAAAGACTCCTCATCTCTAGGCAGCTAAAGCCTCCATTTCTGGCTTTTAGCTGGTTAATCAGAGATAAGAGTGGCAAAGCCGGCAGCTGCTCACGCCTGTAATATTAGCTACTTAGGAGACAGATCTGAGGATCACAGTATCTATCTCCATTTAACCACTCAAAAACCTTAAGTGGTTCTGTGGCTCAAGTGGTAAAGCATTGTCCTTGAGCCCAGAGGACCAGAAACAGCGTCCAGGCCCTCAGTTTAAGCCTCACAACTGACCAAAAAAGTAGCAAAGTGCTAGCCTTGAGCAAAAATTACTAAGGAAGAGCACCAGGCCCCAAATTCAAGCCCCTATCCTGGCACAGGATAAAATTAATTTGGACTTTCATTAAAGCTCAGAGCAACTACAGGAGAAATTATGGGATGGAGCTTTTATCACCAGCTCCTCAGGTCACTCTCTACAATTCATGCCTTACTAGCTCTGGGACCCAGGAAATTATTCAGTTCTTTTTTTGTGGGTCATGGGGCTTGAACTCTGGACTTGGGCACTGTTCCTCAGTTCTTCAGCTCAAGGTGAGCGCTCTACCACTTGAGTCACAACACCACTTCTGGTTTGCTAGTGATTTATTGGAGATAAGAGTCTCATGGACTTTCCTGCCCAGGCTGGCTTTGAGCCACGATCCTCAGATCTCAGCCTCCTGAGTAGCTAGGATTACAGGCGTGAGCCACCGTCTCCCGGCAAGTTATTGGTCTTTTTATGCCTGTTTCTGGGACCTCTAAGATGGCACAGAATCTAATTCCTAGGTACTGCTTTTTTTTTTAATCATGGAAACATTGTGTAATGAGGATTAAAGGAGCAAATATTTGGAAAGTGCTTTCTTTGATCAGTGCAAAAAAAAATATGTGTTTATTAAATGGAATAAAATTCCTTTCTCAGGCATTTGAGGAGACTCATCTGACTTCTCTGGACCCCATGAAGCAGTTTGCTTCCTGGTTCGAAGAAGCTGTTCAGTGTCCTGACATTGGGGAAGCCAACGCCATGTGTCTGGCTACTTGTACCAGGTGGGCATGGCCACGGGCCCCATCTGTAGGTGGGTACCAATGAATTCTCAAACTTAGAAAGCTCTCAACTGGGCTGGGAAGTTGGCTCAGTGGTAGAGCGCTTGCCTTGCATGCCTGAGACCCTGGGTTCGATTCCTCAGCACCACATAAGAGAAAAAGAAAAAACCCGGAAGTGGCGCTGTGACTCAAGTGGTAGAGCGCTAGCCTTGAGCTAAAGAGCTGAGGGACAGCACCCAAGCCCAGAGTTCAGGCCCAACGACTGGACCCCCCTCCAAAAAAAAAAAAGAAAGAAAGAAAGCTCTCAACTCACTGCATGTCAACTCCATGATTCCAGCTCTGTTATTAAAATGTATGGCTTTGGGCAAGTCATTTCTCTGGACTTCAGTCAACCAATCCTCACTAGTAAACCAAACACCAGACCACTAAATCCCTTTCAATAGTAAACCGCACAGCTTTGCATCTCTCTCCCTAGCATACCCAATCACAACCCTTTGTCTCCATCTGCCCTTCAAGAGCTACATTTTGACTGGGCATTGGTGGCTCACACCTGTAATCCTTGCTACTCAGGAGGCTGAGATATGAGGATTGTGGTTTGAAGCCAGCCAACACAGGAAAGTCCATTAGATTCTTATCTCTAATTAACCACCAAAAAAGCCAGAAATAGAGATGTGGTTCAAGTGGTAGAGCCCTAGCTTTGAGCTTAAAAAAGTAAAAGAGTTGGGCTGGGAATGGGGTTTAGTGGTAGAGTGCTTGCCTAGCATGCATGAAGCCCTGGGTTTGATTCCTCAGCACCACATAAACAGAAAAAGCCAGAAATGGTACTGTGGCTCAAGTGGTAAAGTGCTAGCCTGGAACAAAAGAAGCTCAAGGACAGTACCCAGGCCCTGAAAGCCCAAGACTGGCACACACAAACAAAAAAGTTACATTTCCTGGGGACCACTCTGTGAAGCTTGATCCTTTTGAACAGAGCCTAGTACTTTTATCATTTATTTGACAATCACAGAGCCTTTGAAACAGTTCCTTTTTTTGGGGGGTGGAGGGGTGGTCCGGTCATGGGACCTGAACTCTGGGCCTGGGCGCTGTCCCTCAGCTCTTCAGCTCAAGGCTAGCGCTCTACCACTTGAGCCACAGCCCCACTTCCGGCTTTTTTCTTTTTGCTTATGTGGTGCTGAGGAATCGAACCCAGGGCCTCATGCATGCAAGGCAAGCGCTCTACCACTGAGCCACCTTCCCAGCCCCGAAACAGTTCTTATACTAACCTTTTATTCAGCTCTTCTTGTCTCCCCTCATTAGAGTACAAGGCTTGAAGGCAGGGCTCTTGTATAAGTCCCCACAGTATCTCCCAGAATCCTGGGAAGAAGACCTGCTATAGCAGTCCTTTTTTGTGATCCTTAGCATTGGCTGATTACTTCATTGTTGATCCTACTCTTAGGACCTTGTTTGTTAGGACTGCCGTAGCAAAGTCCTATAATACAGACTGAGTGGCTTAAGTTTATTCTGCACAGCTCTGAGGGCTGGAAGTCCAAGATCAGTGTTCTGTCAGGGATGGTGTTTGGTGAGGCCTCTTTAGACAAACCGTGGTTTTATTTTGCTGTGCCCTTGCCTGGCCTTTCTTCTTTGTGTAGAGATAGTCAGCATTCTATGGTGGCTCTTTTTTCTTAGAAGGACACCAGTCCTATTGTATTAGAACTCCTTCCCTCTGACCTCATTTAGCTTTAATTACTCCCTTTCAAAAGCCCCTATCTGGGGCTGGGAAGGTGGCTCAGTGGTAGAGCGCTTGCCTTGTATGCATGAGGCCCTGGGTTCAATTCCTCAGCACCACATAAGCAGAAAAAGCCAGAAGTGGCGCTGTGGCTTAAGTGGTAGGGCACTAGCTTTGAGCTGAAGAGCTGAGGGACAGCGCCCAGGCCCAGAGTTCAGCCCCCCAGGACAAAAAACAAAAACAAAAAGGCCCTATCTGCAGATCCAGTCACATGGGGGAGAGGGAGGTTAACCAGCATATGAATTTTAGGGGGACACAGTTCAGTCCATAGCAGGGTGTCAGGCAAACATGTCCTACTGCACCTCTAGGACAAGTCCTTAGAGTCCGTGGGAGTGGCAGCCTGAGAGCCGGCTAGGGGCACGGCTGGAGGGCTTGCTCAGACATCTTATGGGGAGGGAGACAAGTAAGGACATTGAAATGGGCTGATTGGGCTGGGATGTAGCTCAGTGGCAAAGCGCTTGCCTAGCAAGCGCAACGTCGTGGGTTCGATCCCCAGTACCAAAAACGAAAAGACAAAAAAAAAAAAAAAAGAAATGGGCTGATTGCAGTGCTCTTCTGTATGTCCCTAGAGATGGAAAACCCTCTGCCCGCATGTTGCTGTTGAAGGGCTTTGGCAAGGATGGCTTTCGTTTCTTCACTAACTATGAGAGTCGGAAGGGAAAAGAGTTGGTGAGAGTTCAGCGTAAATCTTCCACACGTGGGCTGGGCCCGCCTCCACCCTTGCCTGCATGACCTTCTCATGTCTCCTTCCTATCCACTTTCCTCTCTGCTCCGCTCCCCCTGCCTCTGGGCCTTTGCACTTGCCATTGCTTTCTTTGCCTTAGTGAATGAACCATCCCCACTCCTATAATCTGATAGATTCCTGATTAACTCTTGTTGTCTCCTCATCCAAGCCTTCCGGGACTGAGCCTCCCCTTAGTGCTGTTTGCTGTCATTTCAACTTGCAACTTTTCCATCTGCCTTTTTGGTCCCCTAGTTTATGACTGCATTTGTTTTACAGGGATTATGTGATTGATATTTGTCTCTTCTGCTATATAGTAAGCTTTGAAGGAGTAGAGACTATCTTTTTCACTTGCTTTATCCTTAGTACCTTTCCTAGTATTAGATAGAGAGGGAATTTATATGCATTCTATGAATGGATTCAAAATGAGTAGCCCTCCCTTAATCCATGCCAGCCACATGTACATTTCTCA